TGGCAGACCGCGCATAAAGTAATACTTATTAATAAGTACTTTATTTATTACATTATAGGAATAAAAAAATTATAAAAATAAAATTTAAATAGATTTTGAATGCAAAATAAAATCTCGCGCAGACACGGCGCGTTCGTATTACATGTGTGAACAAGTCGCCGACAAGTGAGTAACTCGTCAGAAAAAAATGTTTCGGTTTAGTATGTACCACAATTTTATTAAAATTAAAGTTATAACAGTATATTTATCGAGTATTGCTTGGCGGACCGCAGAAACATGTTTACCGGGCCGCAAGCGGGCTGCGAGCCGCGTGTTGCTCGTCCCTGGAATAAGTCATAACCGCTACACGAGTATGACGAGTCACGGTCAAGGGTATTCCTCGTTTCGAATTACGTCAATTATCACAGAACTCATTGAGAATAGAGGGAGATGACTATCTAGTGTCTAACAACAATACATTTCGTGTATGAAATGCATCATGGAATAGAACATCTGTGACTAAATTCGGAACAAAAGCATTTGACTTTGATGGCGTTACTACAATTGGGTTACAAACCAATTTGTTTTATTTCAAAGTGTTGTAGAGTAATATTGAGTACTAGTTGTATAGCTGTTACTCTTTATTACTATATTGTGGTATATTTTTTAAAGGATGTATATGGAATTCTCATCTGCGCTAACGTTCGCCAGCGTGCCCCGCTAAAGCAGATTTCAGTAACTACAACGCCATCTAGTTGAGTGAGATAACCACCACAATATATTTTTAATTCATTGATATAATTTATGCTTATAAACTTAAAAATATAAATAGTAAAGATTAAATTTAATTATAATTATGACATGAAATGAATGATATGACATGATATTCTAGGAATTTGATCATGTTTATTTTTGAGTACAAGATATATCAAGTATATAGTCAGTACTTGATTTGACTATAACAGTCCTGCCTGCCTACTGATTTTAAAATAGTGAATAGCTCAGTTCGGTTTATGTGCTCGAAGTGGAAAGTAAGATATAAGTGACATAGGGAATCGGGAGGAGCTCGACCCGACATAGTATATTATTATAACAATCGTCCTTAGTTAGTAATGTGGACTAATAACCACATTGTTAGCAATGTACTATGTCAGGTTGACCTTCACGTGGTTCCCTCTGACCTCTGACCTCATACTTATCATCCTCCACTAGTGCCCCACCACCGTAAACCGTTAGCGCAGGTGTGTGCACATTATCATCCATAAGAATTATATATGGAAATATTTACATCCAGAGATACACGTCGCAGAAAGTAAAAATAATAAAAAAATTTAAATATACATGAAGATAAATAATTTAAATTCTGACCTAAACCATCATTTTCATTATAAGATCTTACAGCACTTACTCATATTGGATAACACCTGTGAAAACAGATGATTGTAAATAATTACTGAGTAATTTATTTATTATATTATTTAGTGAATTGGTATCCAACTGTTGAAATAAATAGGCTATAAGCGATTAAATGTTATGCATTTTTATAATATTTGTATTTATTAAAATGTCCTTTTGATATAATGATTTAAAGTACAAACTCGTATGGCACTGGTCATATCCTGTAAATAGTGAGACATTAACTTTTTTAGAATAGAATAGAATATCATTTATTCAAATAAACTTAATTTAAGCACTTTTGAATAGTCATAACAATTTGTTTTTTATCTACCACTTTTAAAGTCAATAGTTGATTGGCATAGCATTAACCAAGAATAATTCACACAGAGCCTACCTACCTATCTATACTAAGCACAGAGCTTGTACTAACAGGAAGTACAGAAAGAAATACTGTTTCTGTAAATACATAATATACATAGAAAAACAGATGATAGGATGATGTCAGGTCAGTTAGCCCATTGTGGTAAATTTACCAGTGACTAACTATGTTGGTGTCTAGTGGGGACAGCATAGAAATCAACATGATGTGGCACATTATCAACATTGTAATATTGGATTCACTATTCCTGATAATCAAAGGTACAACATGTATCTAGGTATGGATAAATATAGGCTGATAACAACCACATAATTGTATGCAGGAAGGTAGAGAGGCGAGAGGCATGTTTCAATCACAAAAACTAAGCTGACTCATCTTAAACTATGTTATCAAATAAACAGAGTTATTATCTATCATTGATATGTAGAAACATGTGACTTTGTATAAACAATCATTTAACTACAACTCAAATCAAAATCTAATAAAAAAAATTATAAAACAGAGGATTGACAGAGAATAAGATAAAATATAATATCAATGTAACAGGTAAACAAAAAAACAACAGAAGATCGAAATTAAAATGGTAATAATTAATTTGGTATATAATCTGACATTAAAAAATAGAACTTATTATATAATAGAATAGAATGTCTGTCTTCCATCAGATTCGTCAATACATCAGTTTACATTACATATTTTAATTTTCTGTTATTGTGCCCATAATTACTTAAGAAAAATTTATTTTAAATCTCCCCATAATGAAAAGCCTATTCAATATAATTATATTACCATGCCTACCATGAAAATTTGGGATAGAATTTTGTTTCTAGTTTTCCTGTTTTTGCATCAATGTAATTGTAATTTGTTACAAAAGTCATCTATTACAATATGCTATTCCACTCTTAACATTATTACTTTATAATTTTTCACAAAACCTTGGCCATATATCTAATGAAGCAAAAATTAATTACTAATTATATTATATTAGTAACTATCATGGTTAACTGTGCCGAAATCAGTTGTTTTCAAAATCTGTCCCTGTTGCAATTAATCACCCAATTTCCCATAACACTTGTGAAATAAAACAGACTTAGAGAGTGACATGGAGACAGCAAGAGTGGATATAATGCAATACAAATATACATATATAACTAGTCAATATTTAAAACAAATGAAAGAACTTGATTTATGCAAAATATTGTGCATTTATCTACAAAATAAATAAACAAACATAAAAGGAAGTGCAAAAACAATTCTTTCAAACCTTTTTGCGCTGAAAAGTAAAACAAAATAATTAACAAAAACTGTAAAAAAGTTGTAAATTCTATTATTTGAGAACAAATATCTTTAAAAGAATATTTTTAAATCTAATATTCTCTTGTAAGATAATGTTCATAGTACTTTTGACTAGAGCAATAATTCCCAATGTGGGGTCCATGCCCCACAGGGGGGCAATATGATTGTTAAGGGAGGCAATTCAAAAATGGATTCTTTATTAAAATTACATGGAATGTGAATTTCAACTTTTTATTATGTGTTTACTTATAATAAAATTTTACTTATTGTTCATATCTTTAACAATTTCCTAGTGATTTCTTCCTAAAACCTATTTTATGGATATTTATTTTGCATGATGGAAGGAAGGAATCATACAAAAAAAACCTTCATTCCATCAGGTAATTCACAATTTTTTTATTTATTAGGTACTTTGTATTATCAATATCACTGTCACGTATATTGAAAAATTTGTGACAAAACCAATTACTTACAATATTCTATTATATCATTTGTAAGGTGATTAACTGTAATACATTAATGATCACTTTAATAATTAAGATTCTATACCATTAAATTGACAAATTAGTAATAGAATATGAACTTATATTAAATTTTAATAATCTGTTTCTTGAGAGTTAGTGCAATTATGTCTGTAATTAATGAATGGACTAGTTTGTGTATTATCAATTGACCTTAATCAGTAAGATCATGCCAAATAAGATATTTGTAGAATGCCAACTTCTTAGTTGGTACATTGCTTTATTTTGATTTACATTACAGATTTCTCCTATTCAAATATTACATTAATAAATGTCACACAATTGTGCCTACACTTGTAATATTGCTGTCAACACTAGAGACACCTATTAGCACCTCTCCAGATAATATAAATTTAAGTTCAGTGTAAATACAGTTCATGTTGCGACTCCCCATCAAATATATGTGTAACTAATAAGCTATGTAACACACTATCTAATAAACTTACTAATGTCTAATAAATAGTATAATCACCACCTAGATGTTCTAGTAAATTATGCAGCAACACCTCATCACATCATATACATATAATGCTACAGTGGTGAGGTGATAACCATTGCGCTAGACAATCCTATCAATTGCCATGTATATATATAATATAAACAAAGAATACATGTAAACATATGAAATGTTTAAATATTTGATTGCGTTTTTTTTTCTAATTCTAATACTTTTGACCGCAGCTGGTCTTTACAGCTTTACCAAAAAATAAGGGGATTCTATTCCTTCAAATTAACAGCTGTTTCAACATGTTTAAGATATATGAATACTAGTGTCTTTTGTCATTACTGATTTAATCAATGATGCAGATGCAGAAAGTGATAACCTTATGTGGTTATGTTTTACAGAAAGGAGGAAATATAATAATATTTAATGTCAAAAGATCACATTATATATATTTTAAAAATTCATGTAATTAATTTTGTCTTCATTAGATAACAATTTATAGAATTTTTTTTTTATTTTTACATATAAATCAATGCAAGGAAACAAATACTAATGTTCTTAATTACTTTTTTTTAAATATTTGATTTCAATTCAAGCTAATATTCCAATAACAGAATATTGTATTTAGAATACAAGTTAAGTGCTGCAGTGTTATTGGTTAACTCCATGTTGAGTTAAAAATACACGTTAGAAAATGCATGTTTATTTAAAGTTAAAACCAAAATAGCCAATTCACGGCGGAGAAGAACTGCGTAGAATACAAACCCTATATGCCGGCCTAATGACGAGACAGATTTCGTCACGGGTATACTTACTACTTTCTTTGTGACGTAAACAACGTAAAAGAAAAACAAGGAGCGAAATTGATTTTAGTAAATTCATACACCGCAATACGGAAACAATAACAGTGTATGAATAGAGATTACAATTTATATTCTAGGGTGTAGGCCGTACTGAAATTTGTAATAATAACGTTACTTACTTCTTTACGCTTCTTGATTTTCCGTTTGTCTGCCATTATAGAGTAATTTTGTCAACGTTGCTAAAATTCAATATGCTTGATACACTTGCGTTTTACTGATTGATTGTGTTGATTTGATGATTTCGTTTTGTTCTGCTTCTTACTTGACTTTGACATTTGACATTATAATCACAGATTGTATTATACATACACAATGTATTATAATATGGAAATAATAGAATTAAATTTCCATGTGACAGTATAGGACTGACATTTAGAAGTTACAATCAAGTTTAATTATTTATATTTAATAGGATTATTATTATACATCTTACATTTAATTTTATGAATTCTATTACTTTAACTTTCATGTGCACTTTGGTAATAAGGAAATAAACTTGTGTATTGGCAAAATTACTATTTGAATAAGCGACTATCAATAGAATCGAGTAAACAATCGAAAAATATCTATTTCATAGTCAAATATTTATTGTAAATCTCACACAATTAGCATATAATGATTTATTTTTTAGAAGTGCACCTTTCAGTTAAATCTTTATTCAATTTTACGTTTTTCAAATGCTTCAAACAATATTATTGTTCTTAGGTCAATCTTAATTTAAAATTATAAAACAATCTCAGTCAAGACTTCAAAGATCAACGTCCTTGTCAAGCACTTAATGTCATTCTGTCTGTCAACACTTGAGTGTCAGTATAGAATCAATCAATCAATTTTCAAAAATCTTTTTCTTCGTATTTCGTAGTGTCAAGGTAAATAAATGATATAGTTCTTTTGCAAAATTTTATATATTTAATTCTTATCTTTCTCAGCTTGACGTAATACACTCTAACCATAGTTAGTCATCCAACGTCCAAGTGGGTGGACAATAGTGTACATTTTGTCTTATACAAGTTTACACTACTGAGGCGATCTAGTTAGTACGGTTCAGCAGTTCTTGCAGTGTAGTGCCCATAGAAGACAGTAATTTGTGAATATAAAAATCAATACATGATTTACCTAAAGTGATAACAAATTAATTGTAAAGCTGTAGCTACTTTATTTCTTATTAAAAATACAGTTCCTTTTTCTTTAGCATGGCGGAAACGAACGGACATCAAGTAAAAGAGAGTAAGTGATTCTATATTTTTAATTATTCCACATTTGCTGTCTCCTATTTTCCTTTGTTTTTCCTGAAAAATTATAAATATGGAAATGGATTTCTGTATTTTAATTATTTTACTTGATCATAGGCAAAGGCCGCATAGGTAATTATAATTATGTATATTTTATAAATATTATTATTTATGAAGTAATATTTGTATATTATATGTACTATTTATATAAATCGATAAATATATATGTATGTATAAACAAATCCCTATTACCCTTGCTTATGTAAGAACTTGAGAATGGCTTGTCCAATTGCATTTATTTAATTTCTAAGGTTTTGGAAGATAATATGACATTTTGTAAAAGTGGAATATTAAATTATTCTAAAATGAATCATATTCTTAGGAGTTATCTGTATATGTATAATTAGTATCGTAATTGTTATTACTATTAATAAGCAATTAGAATTTATTAAACAAAATACTAAATGTACTTGAATTAATAATAATAATTTATAAATAATAAAAATGACTTTATTTATTTAGTGCTGGCTGCAATTTTGCATGTATGTACAGTTGTAAATACTCATCTTTTGATAATAATTAAACAATTGTAAATAAAGCATTTATACAGTACTATTATTTTATTAATAAATTTTAAAATAAAATTGCTAAAAAATTTCACAAAGTTCCCCACCATTTTTTAAATTAACACTGTAAACCAAAGGGTCTGCTTTTAAGAATAGGAGATTATAAAACTGTAGTGTTGGTAAATATAATATTAAATAATATAGAACCACAGAGGAGGGGGGATTATTAGTAATGGGAACTAGTGACCCCCAGTGCTAGCAATGTAGCAGTCAGGTCAATCTCTACACAGTACCCCTTAGAAACAATAGTTATATCTCACAATTTTGTAAGGAATAACTTAGACTTGACTTGACTTCAGTTTATTGTCTTTCACTGGTGCTTGCATGACCTCCTAAAGAAGGCAGGTACAAACATTTAATAATCATACATTAAAAAATGTATACACCCACAATTCATATATTCATTAGAATAACTAGTATTTGTAATTTTTAGTATAAGTAAAAATACCAAATCAAAAAACTGGAGCTAAAACTTTTATAGGTTTCATTCAAGTATATTTTTTACAAATGTTTACAAATGCGGAAGTTTGTGAGTATGGATGTTTGTTACCCTGGTATGCAAAAACTACTCTATGAATTTTAATGAAACTTTATAATAACTTATACATCAGAATGCCTATATGTTATAGGATATAAATTTCAGGCGGATAAAACTGGGCATCTGTAGTAGAATATTGTAGTGAAATTTTATTTATGAATACAAGTTATTTGTTCTTTATTACTTATTTGTTTTTCATGAATGATTTAGTAATATCACAGGGTTGTTACTGGTTAATATCCATTAGGTCAATTTACATAATTACTAACAATTTTTCACATTCACAATTGTAAATTGCAATTTGTTTTTATTTACACTTCATCAATTTTCACTCTAATTTTACAAAGGTGTCAAGGATATTGAATGGGGTATTGTAATCTTTACTATATTAATATTGTAAATAGATGCTAAAATATGTTTGTTTGTTATCTTTCACAACTAACAACTGAATGGATCTTACTTGATTTTGACAAAAGCATAAATTGTAAACAGTTCATATCCCAAAAAGCAAATGTAGTCACAGGTAATAGTTAGCATTTTACATGTGCCAATCTTGCTGTCTTAGTTTTCAAGATTTTACTATCATATAAGAAAACATCTAAAACAACCTAACTATGCAATGTTTATAAATGTTATACATATCCACACAACAAACTAGTACCTAATGTATTACTTTTGAGTATTATGTAGTACATAATACTCAAAAGTAGTACATTACTCTAAACTTGCAGTGTAAGATAATAAATATTTGGTCAGTCTTATTGAAATGCATTCACTGAACAGACAAATGAGTTGAATCAAACATGACTACATATCCTCTTAAATCATCCCCATTATTAGGAAAACCATGGAACAATATGTCTCATATAAGCACTGCAAAAATACACGTAATAATTCCGGTATTTCCGATCGCAACATATGAGTTGGACCCGCTGGTATATAATGTACATATAATTATGTTAGATATACTTCCCTGTTCTAACCCTAGCGGGCACCGGTGAAGGATAATAGGATAAGGATGTTTTTTCGCAGTTTCACCCGCGTGAAATTTGTAGCCTATATGTTATTCTGATGTATAAGCTATATTACTGTAAAGTTTCATCAAAATCCGTTCAGTAGTTTTTGTGTGAAAAAGTAATAAACATCCATCAATACTCACAAACTTTCTATCTAGTATTATGCATCCGCCTGCGTTAATGGTTTACGGCAACAGGGCACCAGTGGAGGATGATAAGATGAATAAAGAAGAATTTTTCATAATGGTTTCCGCGTGGAGATCAACCTGACATGGCACATTGGAAGCAATGGGCAATCCTCTTCCTTCCCCCAGGAAATTAGTCAGTCAAGTTTAGTCAGTTAGCCCTTCGTCACAAGTTCCCCTCCTGTTTATCACGATGGTTTATGGGGAGGACTGGAGAGCATAGATATATTGCCCGCAATGAGTGCTATGCTAGTCCAAATTACCTACTATTTTAAACATTTTTTACTGTTGTTTACGATTGTACTCATTATACAGACGGGTTATTTATTATGGTAATATTATTAATGAGCTCCCGATGTTTCGATCATTATTACCTACAATACGTAACATTTGAAATGGCCTTACACGTTTTGGTTTATAACGTCTTCATCTGAATGGCTCTCTGAGATCTCTGTCGATCTGAACCTAGATCAGAAGAACCTGGAACTTATCACAGGCAGAACCTAGTTTTAAAATCAATATGTCTACTTCCTTAAATGAAAACAGTCCGATTTACGTCACATCCGGCCAGAGATATTTCGGTACCATGTAGCCAATCTATAAAAAGAAGGCCATGAACTTGGAAGAAATTAAACATTTATGTGAGGATTGTTTTGAAACTTTTAAATACCTACCTACCGTTAACGACGCATAAGTAATTGTTTTTAACGCTTTAAATTCCTCTCTAACTCTTTTAACTAATATTTAAGAAATTTACTGAAGAAATTTTATATACTAGCTAGTATAGTTATATCCCGAGGTTTTCAATCATGAATTAGTTATTTCACATAAAGAACTGGAGAGACAAATTTCTTAGCATTCCATGATGTGGAAGAGAGGGAAACTCCAAATAGTTCTCGGGACTTGTGATCCGGGTGTAGGTTTAATGACGTATAATACGTAAAAATGAGAAAAGAAAATGAAAATAATAACAAACATAAAATCATGTAAGAAAATACTAATAAGTAAAATAAGAATTAAAATGACTAATACCTCTTCCTTTCCTATTCTGCCGTATTTTTCCGGGTAAATAAAGTCATATATGATAACTCGATTATTACATATTGTGGAGTGTTAAAAATTTTGGCCTTTACAATTATTGATTCGACACTGCAGTATACACAGATATTGCTAAGGTTACTCTGGTGGTTTTATAATATACTACATAGCCATACATATCGTTTGAAACTCATTCTTCTAGTCCCATAACCAAAGGCACTTTGGTTTAGACACTCCCTATTATTGATTATACTCGTGAAAGGGTGCAGCAGAAGGGACTGGTCTGCTCTGATCAATACCAGTCATAGTAATTTAATTTGTTAGTCAACTAATTATTTAATGTTTTTCTTGCTATTTTTTTTGTAATTGTAATTGCAAACAATCTGACGGCTCATTTGGTTCGTGGTCACCTGTGAACAGTATTGCGGACATCACGTTGCCATGTGAGCCTGTGATTCCGCTCATGCGTTGCCATTCTGAAGGGACTATGGACTATGTTACGTATATTTGCTAAATTTCAGGACAATTGGTTAAGGTCAATTTTTGGTTCAATAATATTAGTTAATGTAAGTATATCGATTGTGTCTTGTCGAAGATTTTCTTTATTACTAACTCAGAGTCTTATTAACAATTTTATCTACTCTGTGTCTCTGCATAAGTAGGCAGCTAACTTTAAATAAATCTGAACTTAGAGACTTTCTATTTACTAGCAGATGTAGAGTCACCGATTTCTATTTCCGGATTACTCCTACTTTAATGGACACTGATTTTAATTGTGATTTACGTTCTAACTCCCTTATAATAAGAGCACTATTCCATCATCGATTACAAAAAAAAAATATCTACGACACGTCTATCTGCTACTGTCTAGGTAAAATAATATACGTAATAGCCTATGCCAATCTGGAATCTACTTTTCATATGGTGAAAGTATTCGACTAGGCATAATGGTTCCGGAAATAACCCTCGGTATATACAGAAACAACGTTCACACTTTCTCTTTAAGATATTAGATGTATATTTATTTAAATAGATACATTTAAACATATGTAGGTTCTTAATTTATTACAATATCAAGCTATTAATTTGTTTTCTCAAACTTACAATTTTTTGTCTGAATTATTATAATTTAAAGCGGTTTATCCTGGTGAATATGTATATATTCAAAGATACTGACACTGGCAAAAGACTGAAGACACTAATGTCTGGGGAGAAAAATTGATTACCGTGAACTGTTTTGTATTGATCGACTGTATACTTCTGAGATTCAAGTCTAGAAATCATCAGTCAATCGGTCTTGATTATTGTTGTGTATATATCATTCTTGAATAAGGAAATTGAAGAGGACTATGGTCATGCTCGTCAATTTCCTTATAACTTAAGGTCGAGACGATATCGCAGAAACGTTTTCTTTCTGGTTATATTCTTCCATTTGTGTCGGTCTTTTGTATCATGACTGGCGTCATGGACACCACCCTGTAAGCACAACGCCCTTTTAAACCTTTTGCCCTTTATGTTATCCACATTGTGATAATGCTATATATATATATATTAGCTGTGGTTCTTATACTTAATCTTTACATATAAATGTTGTGTCTACTCTTTGCTAGTGATTTGGATCAAACTTAATTGGTTCAATTGCTTACCGAATTATATTCACTTATCATTCAGCATTATACCTAGCATGCTTGTTGTATTTATACAAGTGTGCTTTGACATATCGTTTATATATTTTTTAATCGTATATCTTGGTTAACTTATGTTTACAAATACGAATATGAACAAATAATGATTATTATCAAGTGCTCATTCTACTATTTAATAAGGACATTATTTAGGATTTTTGAGCTATCATTAAATTTTACTTTAATTACAGATTTACCTCCGGGTGTCCAAGTGGAAGAGATCGAGATACCAGTACCATGGGGTCACGTATCTGGACGATGGTGGGGGCCTACAGACCAACAACCACTGATAGCTATCCATGGCTGGCAAGACAATGCTGGCACATGGGATAATCTGATCCCCCTTTTGCCCATCAACACATCTGTTCTCTGTTTAGATCTGCCTGGACATGGTTTGTCCACATACTATCCAAAAGGTATGTCGTATTATATTTTCTGGGATGGAATCGTGCTGTTGCGAAGGATTGTCAAACATTTCAAATGGAAGAAAATCTCTTTGTTGGGTCACTCCCTCGGTGGTGCTCTAAGCTTCATGTATGCAGCAGCATTCCCCGATGATGTTGACAGAATTATTTGCATTGATATAGCTAGTCCAGCAGTAAGAGAGCCTGCACACATGGTAAAGACTACAGGTGGAGGGATAGATAAAGTGTTGCAATATGAAAATTTGACTGATGATCAACTACCTTGCTATCAATATGATGAGATGATTGATATAGTTGTTGAAGCTTACCAAGGATCTGTCTCAAAAGAGAATTGCAAAGTTTTGATGAAGAGAGGCATGACACCGACTCCTCCAGAGAGCAAGAAAGAAGGTTATTACTTCAAAAGAGACCCCAGACTAAAAGTATCGGGGCTCGCTATGATGTCAATTGAAACGGCGTTAGAATACGCAAGTAAGGTAAAATGCAAAGTTTTGAACATAAGGGCATTGCCTGGTCAGAAATGGGAGAGGCTGGATTATTATACAAGTGTGATAGACAAACTGAAGGAGGTGACAGATGTCAAGTATGTAGAAGTAGAAGGTACTCACCACATACAATTAGAATCACCAGATAAAATAGTCAATATCATTGAAGAATTTCTAGAAGATTATTAATTTATGCACATATTAGGTAATGTAGTTGTGATATGCATACTAATGTAGTGTTTTGTGTTGTACAGCTATGAATATGCAAGGGCTTAAATATTTAATGCGTAAATCCAAATTCTATTGTGGTACAATGATTCCTAATTAACAAATAATAATGTTGCGACAAATGAATTGTAATTAATATAGATTGTAGGCACAAGGACTTTTAGAATTGCATCAATTTCCATATAGTTTGGACGCAGTGCTTACGCGAGGTGATGTTTGAAGGCAACGATATTTTTACAAGTCATTTTGTAACTTTGTGTTTTTGTAATAGAATCTATTAACATTTTTAACTTGATTATATAATGCAGTTGTTAACAATTCTTTTAATGAATTGGAATTAAGTTTTTCTGTCCTTTTTATGCCAAGTTGCATGATTTACAACTATTTCAGTCGCTTGATGCGTACACAAACTGGTCAGTTTCAGTTTGTTCCTAATAATAATTCTTAGCAACTGTGTATGACAAGCCCGAAGTTACGAATGCAACTGATTGAAACCGTTGAATAAGAGTTATTTTAAGTCTTGCATTTTCTTAAATATCTGAATTATCATCGTATTTTCAAAATCTGACCATTGGATTTTAAAAATAATCTTAGGTTTTGTAATATCACATGTAGGTTGTTTTTTATTTTTTTATTTATGATGTAACTTTTAAATTATATAGTAGTAACAGTTTCAGTAAATTTTACTTAATTTATACTTGCTACATTAATAAATTTATCACATAAGATAGTGATCTAGTTGTAATATAGATACAGTGATGAAGCGGCTGTTAATAAGAAAAAAATATTAGTTTATTTTTAGGTAACGGGTTCGAGCATAGCTCGTGTTAGTAGGCAAATAGGCTATTAAAATGAACAAACGCTTAAACAAATGGTGATGTTTAGTTCTGTTTTATCTTTTGTTATTGTTTTTTTTTTACAATGTTCTTTTTTTTTTCTCTAGATGAATGCAACGAATGCCTACCAAAATCAATTACTTTTACAAAGTTTTGTTTTTATTTTATTTTATTCAAGCAATTACAAAGAAATATCATGTTAGTATAGAAAAAAGCATGATTACTGAATAGTCTAACTCAATTCAAAACATATAAAGCATGATATGTTTACTCTAGACAAATAATAGTTATTGAGACAATTTTTCGAAACTTTTTTTTTTCTCTACTCTAATGCTGTTGGGCGCAGCTGGCCTTTACAGTTTTAGCATTTTGAATAATGCTTATCTACTAGAATTTATATTTTATTTAATTTTATTAGTAACATAAATACTGCTCGTATCTGTAATGGTACACTATTGACGAACAAAACACAAAAACAAAAAAATATAATAATATTTAAGAAACCGAGTAACAATATACTTAATCAATCCGAAAACGTATTTAATATGTATGACTTGTGTGACACTAGACATTCATTTACGTATGTTTAAAGTAGTTGTATTTCTACTGGAAATAAACATGGTGTTTGTTTCATTTCTTCTAGTATATTATATACTATACGATTCTCAATATATGTATACGTACGTACTTCAAAGATAAGTTCAGATTATTGAATATTCAAATATGTCATATCGTCTTATTCACAAAAACTGAAAACGTCTACAAATTCACTATAGTCTCACTGTCTATCCAATTAAGAAAGTAGCTGAAAAGGACAGGACAAAAACTTTCTTGTACATTTACTGAAGGTGTTTAATTTTGAAGCAACTGGTTTATCTGTTAATATGGATAAACTAGAATTAGTGTTGTCATGTATTTGTGAATATGATTTTTTTTAAATAATAGAATTAATTGACATTCAAAGAAAAACAAATGGACAATAGTTTAATTTTGTTAATATTATATTATAATTGTAAAACAATGAACATAATGTAATACATAATAATATATTTTATGAATAAGTTCTCATTGATATTCTTTTGTTAATTTCATGAAAACACTTTTTTTAAATACAGCCGTATGCAATAATATGTAAACACATTTAGTGAGATAAATACTTTCATTATTGATAACTCGCATGGTATTTTGTAATGAAGTGATATAAATACTATAGAAATTCAAAGTAACAAATCTGTACAAATATGTACAAAATAAATATATAGAATCAAGAACAAACTAATATTTACAAACATAAGTGAGTGATGCCGCTGGCAGTGTTTATGTTTATATTATAATTTATAAAATATTATCGTTCAAAGTACAATGTTTATATATTATTGCGTTTAACTGTACGAATAGAATGTGTGTGGGTGTCATGGAAGAAAAGATTTTGGGAATGTCTGCATAAAATTTGGACATCTCCAAAACAGTTGCAAATTTCGTGCAATAAAATTGCAAGGTAAATTTTTCTTACGGTACAAACATTTGTATTCATGATTGTATGTATTGTTCTGGGTGTTATATATTTATTTCTTGTATGCATTTGCAAAAAAATATAACCATTTCTATCCCATTACCATAACACAAGCGCTGCTTAGCTTGGGGCTAGTTGGAATGTGTGGATTGATCTGGGTTCTGGAACTATTGACAATTCCATGTTTCATGGTCAATGACAGCATTTATTGCCATAGCTATCGATTTAATAAATTTTGTCTTAATTACGTTTCAAACAACTGTACAAAAATAGATTAGATTGAAAATTGGGGCCACTGAGGTCCCGTAGTATTTTTTTTAATGAATGTTAATATTTGGTGCACCTCCCTGTGCTAACGGTTTACGCTGGATTCAGTGGAGGATGATAAGATGAACATGAGGTCAGGTTAGTTAGCTAATCGTGATAAATGCACCAGGAATTTATCACGATGGTTTCTGAGGAGTCTATCTGACATGGTACATTGCTAGCAATAGGGTTGTTTATACTGCCACTCTATTGCTGGGTGTAGCTGCTAACATAATTTACAACGATATAACTGTAGATAATTAATTATGCTTGAATATGCATTAATTACATCTAATGCACGAGTAATATGCATTTAGAAGCATCATTTGATATAGATTTGCTGTCACGTGGTAAGATTTTCTAGTCGATGTATTTACTTACGTAAGGTTTGTATATACATCAACTTAGGATTTCATTTTACTCATAATTAGCAATGTATAATCACAGAGTGACGTCATCCTCTCCATACTAATATTATAGATGCGAAACTATCTGCTTATTATGTGAAAACATAATTACTATTTGGGTATAATTATTAAATCACAGGATCTTACCACGTTTTATTTTTATTGAGTTCCTGATATGTCAGCGTTTAACCGCCATAATCACGGGTAAACTGAAGAGCAACGGGTAAATAGTAAATAAAATATTTTATGGGCAGATCTGGAGATTCCGAGAACAGAGCGAGATCCCGTGATTTACTAATTATACTTATAAATAATGAGAGCGTCAAATATAAAACAGTATATACTAGATGGGTAGTAATGAAATTGGACTAATTAAAAGAAGACGAAGTCACGGCTAACATTTGCTAGTAACATTACAAATTTGATGATTTACTTGTATTAAAGACATGTTATTTATAAGTAGATAGATCTTACACGTGTGGATAAAGGCATTTAACATTGCACGCTGAAATATACACATGGGCACTGGTTTTTAAAGACACGGTTAAATAACAGAATTACATAATATTGTTATACAATTGAGTACCTATCACGCAATTATATTGTTATCACATACATATTGTGTTTTATTTCGTCTTATAATTCCTTAAAGAGATAGCTGGCTATCTTAATCTGACCTGCAATATATAATTGTAATAACGTATGATATGTTACTTTTACATACATACATATATAATTGTATTTTATTGTATTCATCATTATCGTCTGCTTCTTCCTTATTCCATTTATTTGACTAATCTATATAAATACTATCTGTCCCGGCAAACATTTTGCCTTAAAATAAAAAAAAATAATTTAGGGTGGACTACCCCTAACATTTAGGGGGATGAAAAATAGATGTTGGCCGATTCTCAGACCTACTCAATACGCTCACAAAATTTCATGATGATCGGTCAAGCCGTTTCGGAGGAGTATGGGAACGAAAACTGTGACACGAGAATTTTATATATAAGATAATAAAGAGGGAGAAAGGCGATTGTTAGTAATGTGGAATTTATATCCCATTGCTAGCAATATACCATGCCAGATCGACCACCACGCAGTCCCCCCGGAAACCATAGTGGTTGTCATTTTGTGGTAAATTCGCTACGATGGGCAAACTGACCTCATTTCATGCTCATTCTAACATTTTTCATTGGTGCCCCACCAGCATATACCGTTAACGCAGGCGGGTACATCGTTTTATTATCATATCTGAAAAAATATAAACACATGAAGAGATTTTTTACAACGAAGATATGCCGATGTAGTCTAAAGGCGCAGAAACACTGGGTAAGTCTGTAACGCTAGAAATGCTGTTAGTAAGTAATAGCGTTGTGGAGAGTATAATAGGGTTGCCGATCTTAAAATATTGAGCAACGCACAAAGACATTACAGATCAATAAATCTTAATTTGGGTCTTTAATCTTGGGTACATCTTCCTATTTAACTAAATTCCTAAGTCCAGAATCTCATACAACGTTGGTACTAGTAAGACTAAAGACTAAAACTCTCGTACTTATACGAGAATTCTCGTAAGGATGACATACTTAAATACAAACAATTCACCTGTCAGTTATTTGTACTCATGAAATTCACCTGTAATTTTTTTCCTACTTTATAAGGAAGTAAATTGTATTTTTGATTTGTATGGATGATAATAGAATTGTGCACCCACCTGTGCTAATGGTATCATGTTAGCGGCGCACTAGTGAAGAGGGCATGATAGGATGAGTATGAATTCAGGTCAGTGACAATCCTGACGAATAAATCTGAAATTAACCATCATGGTTTCCAGGGGGAACCGCGTAGAGGTCGACCTGACGTGGTACATTTCGAGCATTGTTTTCTATAATCTTTATTTCCCTTCCCAGAGTGGAAGCCTAGTAGAGACTGGGCTGTATTACAAGTTGAAGTTTAAAGCGACAAATTATTATTTTTTTTAAACTTAAAATATATCATACATAGAAAAGTAGATACTTAGGTATTACGTGAAGGGCTGATGTTTCGGCAAGCTAAGACTCATATATTGTTATCGAGAAGATTCATGAGTTCTCAGTCGAACGACGACGAGTCATTCGGACGAAGTTAAACAAATCATGACAAACAAAATTGTAATTATAATAATATATATTATGTTATCTGTGATAATATCAAAACGCATTCTGATACTTTTAGATCATATCAACAAAATCTATCATTGAGCAATAACGTCATAACATGCTACTTATAACATCAATAAAAGTATGGTTAGTAGCACTTATTATAAACAAATAAATAGCACTTTATTACTTATGGATTCGAAAATTGATCATCAAACTCATTAGTGTTATGGCGTTTTATTAGGGTATGATGTAATGTCGCAATGACGTCATTGCATATAGCTAATAGGCTATAACATCACGACTAGTCGAAAGTAGGTATATTTAGCGAGCTGTACTGTAACCTAGCATAAGTAAGAGCTTTACTAATAGTATTTGATATTGTTTTATCTGTGTTCATAGTAAGTTTAGTCCTTATACTCTATAACTGAGGTAGAGTTTTAAGTCTTGTTTTAGGACATCTAGCCCACGATAATCTCCAAATGACGATGGATTGAAAAACATTTTTGCGCTACAGACAAAAACTAGACTGTAGATCGAGCTTAGATTCTGTAAAAAGTCGTCTACGAGTGTACTTGAGCCTGACCTTTTTTTATCTGGAGAAAATCGTCATGGCAAACCCGTCCGCCCCGTGCAAGGAAAGCGGTTACTGTATAACTCCTACACCCTAAAAACTAAGACGTCCCTCATCCAACGACATATGCCGGAATCACTGTATCAATGTCAGTCTGCCGCGACTTCGAGGGCGGCCCTCTCTAGTACTTCAGTATCACCTAATTCAACCGCCAAGCAGCTTATTTTGTATTGTGCTATGTTTCTATTGTTTGAGATTAGGTAGTGATATATATATATATATATATATATACGACAGGAGGCATGTCATTGTCATCTTAGTCTTCTGGAATAACAATGAATGAGTATCACGGGTTTAAGTGATAAAGATTAAGATAACTTAATATCTGTAGTGCTGTTCATGTAACCAGTAGGTGGGCCGTCAGTTATCTTAGCAATATTATAAACGTGAAAGTTTGTGAGTATGAATGGATGTTTGTTACTCTTTCACGGGAAAACTACAGAAGGGATTTTTATGAAACTTTACAGTAACACATAATATACATCAGAATAACATATAGATTATAATTCAATAAGATATTATGTAAATTGGGTGAAATATAATAAGGGTGATGTAGAGGAAGTTGCTCGGGTAAGATAGTATAAAATAAAACAAAAATATTAAAAGATCAAATTTATATTGAGTTTTATTCCCATCCGGAATAACAGTCTTGAAGGTATACAATGGGAATATATTTCTTCTATTCTTCACATTATGGTATCATTTTCAATATTTGCATACCTCTACGGGGTGCTGCATGTCATGTACTCTTATATGGTATGATCTAAAACTGTATCATGTAGCAAGCAAAATGTATAAATTATTATTATAAATATATTATTTCTTCACACAAATATTTAAACACGTGCATGACTGATAATTATCTAAATCCTCGGGACGAGTGACCTGTAAAAAATATTATTACTTATATTATGGCCTATATCCGTGTTTAATAATTGATTGGTATTTGTAAACAAAGAAATTAATAGATAACAATGATAAGTAATCATAATTAATAATTGGACGATAATAACGCTATCAAAGTGCAATTTATTGCACAAAGATCAAATCGTCGTACAATTTTGATAACTTTGTCTGTGGGTGCAAAAAGTGTTGTAAAATAATTATCATAATATAATAATTATATAAATTTGACAGCCTCGATGGTGTCGCTTTTTAGCACACCGCTTTACTTCCGATGGTCGCGGGTTCGATTCCCCGCACGGCACAAGCATTTGTATTCATGATACTCATAAATACAAATGTTTGTAATTGTTTGTATCGGTCTGGGTGTTTTCTATGTATAATATGTGTGTATTTACAAAAATATATATCTATGTATTTGTATCAGTTATCTAGCACCCATAAGACAAGCTTTAGTTAGCTTAACGTGGGTCTAGTTGATCTAGTTGGTCTGAGATTATAGTAAACATTTATATTTATATATTTATTTTTCTACTTGAAAAGTAAAGTTATTTAAGTGTTTTAAGATATTATTTCACTATGTCTTATTGCAACATAATATAATTGGATTTTAAGCACAATAGATCTCTGAAAAGCCTAAATCAATGAACATAAAATCTAAACTATCTAATAAAGAAGTAAATTTTGTAGGGGATAAGTGATCTCTGGATTCGATGAACCTATTTTGAAAATTCTTTTAGTGTTTGATGGCTAATTTATCCGGGAAGACTATAGGCTATATAGTACATATAATAAAATATATACAAACAATAGGAGCGGAACTGTAATAAAAATGTAGCATAAACATAGGAAATGTGACGCAGTGGAAGTGGCGCGGGTGAATCAATAATCTGGTCGGATACATGTGATAAGTTTTTTACGTCAACAGTTCTTAGTAATCTTACTAATATTATAAACGCGGAAATTTGTGAGTGTGGTTGGATGGATGAATGTCTGTTACTCTTTCACGCAAAAACTACTTAACGGGTGTTGATGAAACTTTACAATAACATAGCTTATACATCAGAATAACGCATAGGTTGTAATTTAAAAAGATATTCAGTAAATTGGTCAAGTCAATTTAATTGAGACGACAATTCGATTGTTACTCTCGCACCCATTTCCGTAGTCAGTACCTATAGGTGCGCCGATAACACTACCTGCGGGAGAGAATGTTATCAACTGTTATCTATAACGATGACGTCATCGTGATAATACAGGTGAATCTAATCTTTGTACCCGGTGTCAAATTTCTATATATTTGATATCTCTCACAACTCGGGAAATAAATAATATCATTGAAAATATTTTTACGAGATAAGGAACACTTCAGAAACTGTTCCGTGCGTTTATTTTAGTAAGTGGCGATGTAATGGTGTAGCCTTCTGCGTAAACTGTTACAGTTTACGCTGGCGGGGCACCGGTAAAGTCCGATCGCTCAGTTGCGTTTCTGACAGGTCGGGATCGAATGGACGATGTAACTTTGAACTGACGTACAAGTGACAACATTAAAAATTTAATAATTATTCTAACTTACAATAAACGTATTAATTTTGGGGTAAATTTATGGACTATTAACTATTTAACAAATATATAAACAATAGTTTTCAAAAGTCAAACCACATCAAACTGCGCTGTTTCAAGGTTATGTGAAATGTTTGCAAAACAAACAGTTGACATAACCATAATAAGCAAAATAAAAGATATTTAAAAGTTTGCAGTAAATTATACGTCAGTTCAAAGTTACATCGCCCATTCGATCCCGACCTGTCAGAAACGCAAACTCTGAGCAGGCGGATTGTAGAATATGGTAATTGAATGAGGATGAAGTCAGGCCAATTAGCCAATAGTTGTAAAATCGCCAGGAAGTAACCACGTTGGTTTCCGCGCATGGCATCCCTGGTACTGCAACGACATTTTAAATAAATACGCATATAAATAAAATACATGAAAATATACATAGCATACCTCAATTTGTTTCTTATGCTCACATTCTATCCTTAACTTATCTCCTATTGCGTTTTGAGCTTGTAATTTATCACTAATTGATCTCCATGTATTACTCGCTGATTGCAGTGTCTTCATGTTACCGAATAAGTAAAATCCTGTAAGTAATAACAAAACGTTAAAAACATGTGAAAATTTATGAAAATCTTGGATTAGGAAATGGCACCTGGTAATCCCAGGTCCTATTACCACGTACTCGCAGGCTTCCGTTAATCCTGCGTGAGCTTTTGTAGTCATGTACAAGCTCATTCGAAAAGAATAAGAGCTGAGTTTCTTGTCAGTTCTTTTTAACTCGAATACACTCCGAACTGACAATAATAGATTTTGACATATCACATGAATCTGTAATAGTCCTACATGAATAAAGATATTTTTATTATATTTGATTTAAAATTGTAATTATAGTACTCTGCGTGATGAGCATTGTTTTTCGGTTTTTTAATTAGTCTGTGCCGAAAAGATTGTATTAGAGAGCCGGCATCTCGTTTTGTAAATTTAATTATAGTAATTGTGTGAAATGTCAATAAACTAGAAGAACTGCAATACTATTTTTGTTCACTCGGCTGGAAGAACCCAAAGAAATGGCAGGTTTGCTTCCTGGCTAGATCAAAAACATACTCAGTGAATTGTCAATTAGTTGAAAATGTCTCTGACTACCCCATTTTGTGTTAAAGTAGTGAAGATGATTAAATATCGTGAGTCATGCATTTATTATTTGCCGACTAAAATAAAGTAGGTATGTAGACTGTAGCTTTAGAGGCAAAATTAGATAAAGTTGTCAATAAAGCGGTCTGATGTCGATAATGCATCATTATAATAAGATAATGATGAGATCCGTAATGTTATCTTGAGTATAACTCTGCCTAGCCTAATTAGTGAGACGTTCTCACGTCGCTGAGATTGATAGGGTGTTTTATATATACATTTATATATACACACAGCCTCGGTGGTCTAGTGGTTTAGCACGCCGCTTTACTATCCGATGGTCGTGGGTTCGATTCCTCGCACGGTACAAACATTTGTATTCATGAGTATGATTGTTTGTATCGGTCTGGGTGTTTTCTATGTATAATATGTATTTATTTACAAAAAAAATGTAACCAAGTATTTATATCAGTTGTCTAGTACCTATAACACAAGCTCTGCTTAGCTTGGGACTAGATGGCGCTGTGACAATTGTCCAGGGTTTTTATTATTTTTAGTATCCAATCAGGTCAACGCAAACATACCTTCTTTAGCTCTTGACAAAGCCACGCATATTCTATTAGGAGCTGACAAGAAACCTATATTGCCGTCTCTGTTACTCCTTACGAGTGAGAGTATGATAATCCTATTCTCTTCGCCTTGGTAATTATCCACTGGTGTCACTTTCACCTCTCGAATTGTGCTGTACTTTCTACTCATCTGTGAAAAAGATCATTAAGAAATTAAAGTGTTTTAAAGTAAATATCTTTCCTGATCCATGTATAGTAAAAAAGACATCGCAGTACATCAGTGTTGCAGTGTGGGGGTGCAGAGAGAGCTATGAGGTGACATACTAAAAGAGACAACAAAAATGTCGATTTTTATTAAAGTAAAAAATGAAACTGTAATAATAGACACGAAAAGTACATTATTATTTGTAATTAATTGACAATAATTATTGTAATTATAGTAATTAAGGAGCGGTGAATTTTCGGTTGACCTTAGGTGGGGAAAGACCACACTGTATATCGCATATCTGGTACATAACAGAAGTAACTAAAAATTATAATCTTTTCAAAATCCACTTGAAAGTTTGAACATTAAAGTCTAATTTTATACTGTAATTTTCGTTTCGTAATTTCGAAAACGAAACTCGTTGTATCCATGCTTTAATTATTAAGAGAACTAAAGTGTTATATCACTGCCATATCTTATTCTTCGTACAGGGATACAGTTTCCATAGCAAGCGGGTAGTAGCGAAGTATATTAATATATCCATGCGATTTTTTAACTCTGATTTTAGCGGCTTATCAGATGTTTTGCGCTTGATCTGTTGTAACTGGCTTGAATGAAGAAATGTTTTATATTCTAAATTTGTATTTAAAATTTATAGTTCCTTTTGTAGATTCTTGTTTGTTACTTTAATTCCATTCTATTTATGTCAATATACTATCCAAAAATATATATTTTCTCCTTATTCCAAGTCTTTTTTCCTATTATCTATACATGGATAATATAAAACTACAACAGAATCTAATCTCAATATCGATTTCAACCTAATCCAATAGCCCACACCGTGTACACGGATAATTTTAGTTTTATTGGTAAGTTTCGTCATACTTATTAATAATAATATAATATAACTTTACACGAAGTGTTAAAACTATCTTATTAATATTACAAACGCGAAAGTTTGTAAGTGTGGATGGATGTTTGTTACTTTTTCATGCAAAAACTACTGAACGAATTTAGATACACCTTTGGAAATTGGGCGAAATATATAATAAATACCAAGTGTGATGCAGACGAAGTTGGGCAGATCTAGTAGTTTATAATTAGTAGCTTATAATTTAAAAAAGACAACACGTAAGTATATAAATATAACACATATATAAACTATGTAATTTTGTATATATTACATAGTTTATATAATGATAGTTATAAATATGTGTACATATATTACACAACTCAGTGAAACACTATTAGCTTTACGAAAACTACTGCCGTAACAATAGCAGCTGAAATTTGTAACAATGTGGCAGCGAGCGATGGATTTCCGAGTAATGTTGGAGCTACTACGCGTGCTGATAAGGTATTGAAAAGGTAATGTTAATGTTTGGCCACGTTGAATAAACCGGTATCTATATAAACATTTGGTCTCATCGCTTTTGGACTTTGTTCTATACGTATCTACTATGATTTCGCGTTGCAATCACTATTTGCTGTACAAAGTACAAGGTTATCTTTATAATTTTAACTATTTCCTCGGCTCATACTTTATCTATTGATATTACGCTAATCGAACAATAAACATTAACATGTTTATTGTAAAATTGTAAATTCGTAATTCAGAATCACTTGTCTTTTTAGTTAGCTGATAAGAAAAAAAATTCTAGTATTGAATTTAATAAAAATTTTGAGTTCATCTTACGAATAAATGCTAAAGTTTTTGAGAATGGACGTTTGTTGAGATGTTTGTCTATTGAGTAATAGACAGTTGATTCAAGAACTAACGACCTTAGTGGTGCACTAGTTATGAATGTCACAAATAATGTCATGAGTTCGATTCTCGGTCCAATCATTTTTTTAAGCATTCTGGGAATTCTATCTATGTGGAGATATCAATACTCTAATTTGTGGCTCTTAAAGTTTGATGTACAATTTCTCATAGAGCAAAATAAGGTAATTTTAAGATTAGGCATTTAGTGTATGAAAAGTGTCACAAGTAAAGAGTTAAACTGTAGGTTATACTAGTATTTTACAACAGAGCAAAGATCACGCGCTATTCGCATTGTGATAGATACGGACAGTTGTATAGCTGTCTCACTTTTTCGCGTGACCTTGGTCGAATGTCAATACGAGTCAGACTTAATACTTCAAACTATATTTTTGCCAAATTTAGGATGTCTACCACACTATGGCTAATGGTGACGGCCGCGATTATTCAACGAAATGTATTATATACATATTACATTTTTGCATTTAAAAAAAAAATTAAACTTTTAATCATAATACGTATTATTATTTTAATCTAACATTTATTATTAAACTAGTCATTTTATATCTATCTTTATATGTTTAATAATATTGTGTAGTGGAGGGATGGAATTGACAGTAGTGACGACAAGTGACCATTTGTCCATGTCTGTACCATGTCAGCTTGTCGTCGTGGTTTATACGTGGTGAATTTGCCACGATGGGCTAACTGATCCAACCTCATAATTATGTTATCATTTTCTACTGGTACCCCTCTAGCACTACACCATTAGTGTAAGCGGGTGCCTCATACCATATTTATGTAAAGAAAATAATATTGTGCAATTATCTATATTATACAATATTATTGTATGCGTACGGCGGCCTTAAAACGAATGCCAAATATATAATTACGCATTTAGGATAAAACTGATTAGACTACAGTCATAAATGAAGACGGAAGTGATAAAATGTCTACGTTTATCAATACTGATTATCTGATAAGGTTTTATTCAACGTTTATCATTTTAGAGCCATGTGCCACCACCCTTCGAACCGGATCACAGCTTACTCTCCAGTAAGCTGTTTCGCGGCTGAAACAGTTGAGATGTAGACTACTTTATCACGGTCGTTGAAAACATCTGCCTCGCCTATTACTGTCTCCAATCAGCTTGCTTTGTTAACATTATTTCAAACGTGGAGAGAGATATGGTAGCTAAATTATAGGGCGCAAAAGAGATGCTATTGACGTCACATATGACGCGGTGTCGGATATAAAAAATATTATTTTAGTTTTTTTCATGTTTTACTGGCCTGGAAAGTCGTTTAAAGCTGGTTCATATTAATTTTTTGATAATAAAGTTTCAAGGCGTTTGTGGCCTGGGTTTACACCAACATTCTGCCCACCTTCAAGAAGAAAACAAAAGACTAAGAGAAAGAGAAAACATTTGTGATAATGAATGCAATGATGTGTATTGGTCTGGGTGTTTTTTATATATACATATGTACGTTTTTACACATAAAAATTATCAATTGTATAGTACTTATAACGCAAGATTTGCTTAACCTGGGAATGCGTTTTCTAATTTCCCTGAGATATTATTATTATTAATAATAACATATTTCATGAAGCACTATTGACCGGCGGTGTGTATCGGCGTTACCGGCAGATTGCCGTTGTAGTGCCGTGACTACAGATTTATTTTATTATTTCATATGTATATTGGTGTATAAGGTTATTTACAATATAGGCTATAAGTAACCCGAATTAAATAAATACATATTGTCGTATTTTTACGGCATTACTATTTAAATTAATGTATTGTATAGCAATAACAAAACTCATAGCATTTTTTAATTATAATATCTTATTATTTTTGTAGCTTATGCCATTCACATATGATTTATTATCGTTCAGAAAGCGTTTACGTAGCAGTTTATTACTAATTAATGAGATTAAGATATGCATACTGATTTGTTTTCGATTTATATCGATTATATTAAATGTTTGCACTCGTTCACGTCACAGATTATATATTTGTAATTTGGACACGTGGTTACGTTAGGTCGATGCCATGGCCAAATTACAATCGTTTAATCGATGATGTAATTGAAAACGATAATAATGTTTTGAATGCATTTTTATTCATTCCATTTTTATATTATATTGTAATCAAACGTAATTTACCGAGTGTTGCTGGCAGCTTGTCTATGATTCGTTTTATAAACTTTATATTTTTGATTCTTTGATCTGTTTTTAAGTCACTTTTGACTCTCTTACTTTTCGCTGTGAGCCCTTTTGGGAAATATACACATTATTATTACTATTCTGATTTTTAATAAAATAGTCGTTATGTTACCGCTCCAGTCGCAACGAGGTATATTATTTGTTTAGATTTTTTGGAGTTAACGCCAGTGAGTTGACATTCGAAATGATGCAAAATGAAAGTGATGATGCGTTGCACATTAACTTTTCTTATAAACCTTGTTGGTGACCTAATGAATTATAAAAAAAGCTCTGTGAAGATACCGAGAGGTTTCAGCTCAAAACTGTAGAAGACTTTCTTACCTCTTTAATAAGTGAAACCTGTCCAGTGTATGTAGATAATATTGTTATTTCATCAGATTTGTATTTCATGCCCAGTAGATAGTTAGCTAGAGCTGTGCACCATTTAGCTTCGTAATTGTTCTTATGACTCCAACTGTCTTCCAGTCCCTTAAAAAATAGGTTTGAGTTAGTGTTACAAGGTAAAATTGCTCTTAGTTTTCAGATCTCTAAATCGACAATTGATTGAGAGAAAGATTTTGTATGTACGTTCAATATTTTAGGACATCGATATGTTAATAAGTAAATTCTTTTAATTTAAAAATTATACATTATTGCGTTGCACATTAACTATAATTTGGTTACATCATACATAGACAATTAAGTATTTATTTATATATAATATTTATCTTTATTATTTGTATTATGTATAATATTTTTTTAGAAATTTATATATATTTTTCTGACATATCTCATCTATATTAGTGCACCGCTAATTATCTTTCTCTGCACCACTCATGATTGACTCGTAGATAACGCTGCAAAGTGTTAAGTCGGCAATATGTACACATTTTTGTGCATTGAAGTTAAATAAATAAAATAAAGTTTTCTTACCTCAGAATCTTCATAAACGTCATGATTGAAAAAATACAAATTGTCCGCCATTCCCCTCACATTATTGTAACTGTACACTGTAGGGTGACTGTCCAATCTGTTGTATAATTCTGGGACGAGCAGTTCTACGTAGTTGGGTCTCATCCGACGTTGTGTGGTGAGAGTACGCGAATGAATACCATTTCGTACCATACGTTCGAACAAGGATATCTCCAAGTTGTAGTCTCTGGCTAGTTTATACTGGGCCGCTGTGGGTCTTAGTTGTTTATGGTCACCTAAAATAAAAATAATTAATTTTATAATTAATTATTTACGTGACGCAGATAATGTACCAGCCTCTTAAAAATAATTGTTTTTTACTACTCTCATGCTGTTGGCCGCAGCTGGCCTTTATGGTTTCACTGGACGATAGGATTCAAGTGCAGATGGCACTCCAAACTACCACCATCATTACAGTAAAAAAAATGTCAATTGAATCAGTCTACTAAGTTGGACGGTAAGGAAACAATATTTATACAAAAACTTGATGTTCATAAGCGGCTAAAATGTCCTACATGAATAAACAATTTTTGATTTGATTTGATTTAATAACAATAACTTTAGACAGAGGTAGGGTTAGTATAAATTCTCTGTCTAGGTACTATAGGTATTACACATAAGGGGCCACACGGTTACGCAATATCCGTAGTGCTGGTCATATGTGGGAATGGTGGTGGTTGAATCTTGCCATTTACCATCAGGTGAGCCGTACTTGTTTGTCAATAAATATAAAAAAAGTTTTCTACCTTCCACATCAAAGAAATGTGAAAGAATACTAAGTCTATAATCTATACCATATACTATAATTGAAGGAAAAAAGGAATACATACCAATAAGTATGAGATGTTTGCAATGGTATGTTAGAGATGCCACTATATGAGCCTCTAGCACTTCAGCAGCTTCTTCCACTATCACTGAAACAGTAAAATACAATCACAATACAGTAATAACAGGTTTATAGCACATAAAAAAATATCTGAAAATATAAAAAGAAAGATATCTGAGAATATGCTATATTGATACTGAAAAAATATAATACCACATTCATACTAATATATTTAACTTGGATTTAACAAAAAAAAAAAAACCAAGACATGTAACTGGTATCCTTTTGAAAAATAGTAAAAACAAAGTTTACATTTTTGGTGTGACAAAATCAAAGTGATTAAAACATTAGACATTTTTATTTTAATAAAGGGTTTGAACTATTACTCTGTGCTTAAGAGATCTTGTAGCACTGCAACCTGCATAGATTTATTGTGCTCGCCCTAAACGTGGTACTATTTTTTTTAAGTATATCCACGATTCCCGGATATATAATTCCAGGTTTTTTATATTTTTTTATTTGGATTTTTTTTTATTGGATTGTTTGGGCTATTGTCAGATGTGTAGCACCTGTAGCACTGCGACCTACATAGATCTATTGTGCTCGCCCTTTTCAGAGTTCGCTACCTAGACCCGTCAGGGACAAGAATTGAAGGATATTCTTAGGAGCGATCGTTTTTATCTCCTCGGGAAAGAGTGTAAACTTTCCAAAGGAGATATTTCCTTTATGCATGAGTGGGCTACAACCACATAGGATGTGAAGCGGCGTTTCCTCTTCAGTTTGGCAGAATCTGCAGATACTTGTCGTGCATAGGCCTAGTTTAGCCATATGCTTGTTTAATTTGCAGTGTCCTGTGAGGGCCCTAGTCATCATGCATATGTTGTTTTTACTCAATAGCAGTAGTCTATTGGAGTATTTGGTCGAGAAGCCCGATATAATTTATTTGGATACGCAATTATTATTTATTACTACGGAACAAAGTGTTACATAACTAGGGATTGTACTTAGGACATTCTATTCTGATATTAAGGTAATTTTTTTTAATTTCATAAATTTTAGGTTTATTTTTACTACTAGTGCTTATTCTATTATTACTAGTCTGATATGGTACTGTTAACATTACGTGCTAAATCTTAGAACATGCATATTAGAAGACCGCCTTATTGCTAAAAGTAATCTTTTATAATCACCTATAGGTGAGAGCAGCTTCTTCATGAGATCGTGTCGACGCGCTGCCGTGGTGGTGGTAACACCGACCACCCTCACTGCATTCATCACATCACCATCGATAAGTGTTGCCACTTCGTTTAACTCGTCGTTGCATTTGTTGTGTTGTTCCTGTAAATGAACATGAAGAAATTAAATAAAAAAAAGTCTACATTATGCTCCAATATAAAAAAAAAACACTAAAAAGCATTAACAACTACAATATACACTATTACTATAAAGGCAGAGTTTGGATGTTTGGGCTAATCTCAGGTACTACTGATCAAATTTAGAATTTATGGAACACGCTACGACCAATATCAACAGGAGAGAAGCTGCAATGAAAAATGTAGTAAATAGAAGAAAAATGTGATGTTAAAAGTTGAAATGAAATTATACTAAAATATTATGTTCCAATAAGTTGCAGGTATAAACCTTAATAAATTCAGAGGACAATTTAGAACTTAAGTGCTATCATCGTCGTTGATCTTTTATTGTATTAATTTACTAATAAAGGCTATAATAGAACAGCAGAGAGGGTGGACTCACTGAATTATAAACTGTTATGTCTCGATTATTACTTCTAAATTTTATTATAAGCAGCAATTGTAATAGTTTATTATTTGAGAAAAATTAAAATGATGATGGTTATTATTATTATTACATCAAACCCAATTAAATCACTTTCAACATACCAATAGAGTGTTCATTTTAGTCATCAATTTGCTTTTGATAGATACCACTGAATTATTGTACATCGTCCATCGTTGTTTCAGATTCAAGCTGTAGAGATCTTTCACGTTTGGCAGATTGTCTTCTAAATTTACAGCATTTTCTGAGGTTGGTATATTCCGCTAAAATAATAATGAAGATTTTTATTAAATTTTAGCCTTTTAATTTTAATTTAATCGTCGTCATTAAGAAGATAAAATAATCCTGGATCAAATTATCCAGTTTGTTTTTAACTTGTGTTTCTTTTGTAAATACATACGTAATATACATAGAAAACACAATTACCGGTAGAAACAATTATACTCATGAATACAAATGTTTGCACTGTGCGAGGAATCGAACCAGCGACCATCTGAAGTAAATCGGTGTGCGAAACCGCTAGACCACCGAGGCCGTCATAGAAGATAAATTGCATCACAAGCTATATAAAAGATAGCCTATGGGATTCCATAGGCTATCTTTTATATCAAGGTCTACTTTTTGAAATTGTGAAGTTGCTGGTTTATTTATAATATTTATAACAAAATAAACTTACTTTAAAACAATTCAACATCCCCTTGACTCTGTTTATTTGAGCCTCAAACTTGTCTGTCATTTGTTGCTTCTCTAAAGGGTCATCTGTTATGTCTTTAACATATTTTATACTATTCAACATAGAATCAATTTCTTTCAAAGCCCATTCTTCGGAAAAGCACGTTTCTAACTGCTCACAATCAATATTCACGTCATCAAACTGTTTCTCCCAGTCTTCTAATTCTTCTGCCTCTATTTCTACCTTCTTTGTATCATCAAAAAGCCAGTTTAACATAGGATCCTCATTAGATTCCATTAATTCATATGTTTTGTCACCAATCTTAAGATATGGTTTAATTGTTTTATACGTGAGGATCTCTTTCTCACATTTCTCTATCTCACTTTGTAAATCAGTCATCTCTTTAAATATCTTCTCTAATTCTGATCTCTTATTTCTATACATATATGAATATTTGGACTTCATTTGCATTCTCATATTATGCAATGTGTAAGGTTCTAATATTTTACTCTTGCTTTGACTACCTAGTCTTATTATATTCTTAGTGATATCTAAAATGCCTTCCAAGAATTGATCAAGGGCGTGATTTGTATAACAAATTATCAACATTGGAGTACCTAATAGTGATAGATTCTTTAGTAGAGTAGAAGCAATTTTGACCCCAATGAAAGTCTTGCCAGTGCCTGGCGGACCTTGAATGACGGCAAATTCTCTTGTTAGAGCAAATTTGTAGGCCTCCCATTGAGAGTTATCCAGGCCTAGTGTGTCGCTTGTAGGCCAGTGTTCTAAATCCAAAACTGGAAAAGATATCTCTTCAGAGTTTGTTTCTGTAATATATATCGTTTCTGAGTTTAAATATGCAGGTGGCTGTGATGCATTCTGAAATCATATAATATTGATAATGTCTACCAGATCATTAAAAGAAGAACCTACACAAAAGATTTATAAAATACACATTCAAGAATGTATATACAGAAATGAAATATATTAAAAATCTCAAGACAAGTCATGGATAAACTGTGCCTTAGTTAAGTTTTCCGAAAATAAAAGTTAATCTTATTCTTATATATTATATATTGAATAGTAAACCAGGTTTAATTAAAAGACCAAGAATATTAGTGCAAACCAATTTTTATTAGCCTTTTCAATTAAATTTGATCTGGCAAAGTTGAAACTTACAATTTTAGTTCTGGGATTGACAATACATGACATATATAGTCATTAGATATGCTAGTTTGCCATTACCGTTACTATATATATATATATGATAGAATAAGTGAGCAGTACCTGAACATCAACTATGTATTTCTTCATAGGCAAATCATCATTGCGAGAGTTCTGTAACACTTTGAGAACTCTATGATAGGGTTCAAAGAACACTTCACTTTCTACCATCAGATAAGATTCTGAGATTTTTTTCTCCGATATCGGGTTCTGAAATGAAACTGCCACCTGAAATTATATAAATGTATTATTAAATAAATTGTCTAGTTGATTGAAACAAATTACAATCTACAATCTGTTCTAATATTGAACTTGAAGCTTGAAGTCCTCTATTTAGACAGGTAGTTCATTTCACAATATTAGTGTATACAGGAGAAAGCTTTTCTGAAACCATATTGGCCGAGACTGCTTTGGTTCCAGCTTGTGGGGAATTCATCGCAGTGGATGGTGTGCGGCGCGATGGTAAAAGGTAGCCAGAACATAAATAATAACTCAATTTAATAAACATACTTACATAACCATTGCCCAATAGATTCATCCCAGAATCAAGAACAGTAGCACACAAAATATTCTCAAAATTATCACAAGTAAACAGTAACAATGATCCAAACATCAATTGCTTGTTGTATCCCAACTTCTTATTATCAATGGAGCTATGTGAGTTGCGTTCCTTCCATGCAATATCAATAAGATGACCCACTTTGTTGTTGCTGACATATGTGCGAATAATACGTACTTTTGGGTACACTCTGAAAATTTGAATATTTTTTTATTTGTTGTTGCAAATCATAAACAATTATACATATTTATATATGTATTTTGCACATCAGTTATATAATTCAATTTGTGTCCTTATATCTAAGCTTAACGTTTAGAATGATCAATGTGTTACTTGTGCACATCTGAACAAAACGGTTGTCGTGTTTTGTTTTGTTCAGATTAAGGCTGAAGATTGAATGGTTTTTATTTGTTGACAAATATAATAGCAGATGCTGGTGGTCTCTTTATTGGTACTGAACAAAAATGTTAAGTCGATTATGTATGTATAAATTAATTTGGGCTCATGCTATTAGGGTCAACCCCAACAGTCTGTGCCGACAAAACAGATCGACTGGTGCATTTCAACTAATATAAGAATCAAACTCGAGTCCTAAAAGTAAATGTATGAGTTCTTTTTGGGATATAATAAGTGTCTGTAATAGACGTACAGAAAACAGATGTATTAAGTATTTAAATTAGAAAAAAATGTGTCAAAATTAGGAATTCAATATTATTGATATTAAATTAAAAATATTTAAGTTTTCATTTTGACCACAACAGCCCAGAATATTAGTACATTACTTAACCTATGTATGTTAGTAGAAATGTGAGGAACCTCTTTATTATCTGTCTCATTCAGTGTCTTAGGTTAGGACAGTCCTCCCAGAGCACTCATCATTTTACCAATTTAGAAGAAAATAATCACCTAATATTTTCATGTCTTCTCTTAGCTGGATTCTCCATATATTTACCTAAAAAATAAACAATTTTAAACAAAACTTTTTCATATAACAAAAGTACTTAGAATAATAATAATAAAATTATTATTTTTTGTGGCGAGTTCTCAAGCAGAAATAAAAAAAACTTTATATATCCAACTTATTAAAATAATGTCTTTGGTTTCAGGGTGGTCATTGGTCAACACTAAAAACAACTTTGTGTTTAAATTTAAATCAAGGCATGGAAATATCAATAATAAGCAACATTAATTTAAAGCATTGTGGTGAGTTACCCCTAGCTGTATTGAATTTATCCATTCTGAATGAACCAACATTCACAATTGACTATCGCTGATATTATTTGGTAATACAAACATACATACAGATTTTGCAAAAGTATTGTGTATTTATTACAAATGAAAAGTATTAATTGAGAACTTAAAGTTGGATAAAAAATGCATAATGTGTTCATGCTTCTTGCATATATCCCTGAAAATCAGGCAATCAGGGAATGCCTGAAAATCAGTGACATTTTTGTGTAGGATGATACACACACAATGTTACTCATACATTTTTCTATATATATTATATATTGTGATTTGTAAAAGATGTAAAGTAAACACTACACTGTTTAGTTAACCAATGTAGTGATTACTTTACATTTTTTTCTTTATATTAGTGTACCCCATATCTGTTTGAAGGAAATAAAAGTTTTATCTTATGTATTTATATTATGTATTTATTTCAATCTGTATGTAATTTTTGTGTAGGGCTACCTCATACTCTGATTGTTAAGGTATTTAAAGAATAAATATTAATATTTTACCAACATATTCCATCTCTTAATGTGCCAAAGTAGTCTTCTCGTAACAATTTGAATTGCAAATCTAGATAATGTTGCACACTTGTATACACTCCATTTATTATGTTGGGCTGTATGTTTAACTTATTTCTTCCTAACAAGTCATCTTTTTGAGGAAAAATATGGAGATTTTTGTAATTGTTTGGGTCATCACATTTATTGTCCGGTATTTTATTATCAAATACGATTTGTTCACTAGGATCCTAAAAAAATTTAACATTTAACATCTATATATATAAATAAAATTGGAATGTTTGTAATATTGAAATAACCATTTTTTACTACATGCATATTAATGTAAATATGGTACATACACCAAAATAACATTTATACAATTTCTGTCTGTCTGTTTATTCCGGCTAATATCTGAAATGACTGGACCAATTTTGACGGGACTTTTATTGGCAGGTAGCTGATGTAATAAGGAGTAAATTAGGGTAGTTTTATTTTAGAAAAAATATTTTAGAATAATAAAGTTAAATTCCATGCAGACGAAGTTGCATGTACAGCTAGTTATTAATAAAATGTTTTACAACCTACACTTGTAAGTTCAATAATGTTATTAGGTAGAAAACAGACCTCACTAATAATTTTTGATATTCTTAGTTTCAATTGATCTATTCTAGTAAATAATTCATTGCTAAATGTCTCTGTATGTTCTTCTTTTACACCAACAGCACTTTCATCAGCTACATCCAATAACTCATAAACTTCTTTTATATAATCTAAAGAATGTCCACCAAAATGTACAAGACCCTCACAAAGCAATATAACATCACTAAAAAATAATTCTGCATCATTCCATAATTGAAAATTCATTTTTTTCTCTACAATTCTGACGGATGGCAAACTGGCCAGATAATTTTTAATTGTGATCAAGAAATTTGATTTTTCAAATCTCGACTTCAATTGGGACGCAATTCTCGAGTTTTCACCAGGTTCTAGTGATCTGTAAATACGTGCTAATATTTTTACTATTAAGACAATAAAGTCTCCTTTTAATTCTATATCTAAAAGATTCCAGAAGCCAGGTCTATGTGATATTTCTAGTGTTAAAACTGGAGGTTCTAAGAATGATAAGTCGAGAAGTCTTTTGAAGCCAATTGGTTTCTTTTCCGTAAATTGGGGCTTTGTAGATGTTTCAGGTTGGACCTGGTCTTCATCTGCAAATTGTGATGCATCTTCAGTAATCTGATGATTATCTTCTATAAGTGTACCGTCGAACCAGTCTATTCGTAAAGTTGATTTGTTCCGCTCACTCATGTTTATTAATAAAAAACACTATAAATGTAATATATTTTTCATACACACTTTGCTGTTTATAGAATGTTTTCATATATTTCCTTATAATTTTTATAATTCATTATTTCTGTAATCCACACGAAAACAAAACAAGTAATAATGACACGCAGTGACAGATAATGACATTAACATTGACAGTGACTTTCAAAGTGACAGCAAATTGTAAGCCCCAATTGTATAGCTGTATGGGTACAGTTCCCTTTGCCTTTTTTTAAAGGATAAATGGAACAAAAAAACATTAAATGTCATTAACAATTTCGATTATTAAACTAAAAAAAAAACTAAAAAAAAAAACAATAAAATTATGCATAAAAATTACAAAAGGGTTAATTAAGGTCATAATAACAAATTAAAAACTGCAATTACTACATATTCCTATAATAATTTTTACTGTTAATTCGCTTATTTCGGTATGTATTTCTTTTAATGATATGCCCTGGATATGACGTATAATTCACTATACGTTCCATATTCCGAATACTGCCTTTGTATAAGCTAAAGCAGTTTGTATCGCCGAATCGTTTAATTTAGAACAAAAATAATATACGATACTTGTTACTATAGAACAAGGGTGTTCGGCAATACTGGCCACCAAGAAAAGCGCATGGCCAAATTAGACTTAGATTATAACTGAAAATTTATATCCTTCTTGGATGCTCCGAATTTATTATTTTAATAAAAAAATACCTATTGGAATAATATATATATTTTTTTAATAAGTACACTGCACTATAGAGTACGTGGCCTCTTTAAAGTATTATGTTCCTTGTACGTGACTATTATAGTATATTATTATATAAGTGCGTTATAATAGTTTAACATACGAGGCGGAACCACGTTTTTCAACACATTGGATTCTAAATAAACAACAACAACAACAACAACAACAACAAAAAAAACTGCTACTTTCCCGCCTTTTACTTTTGAAATTAGTAGGTAGCCTACTGGATGGCATCGGGCGCCGTTTATTTCGAAATTTGATAAAAAGAAATAGAAAATAGTGCGGTTATAGAATATAACTTCACGTATTAGTAATTAAGTAAGTAAGTAAGTATTGAAAAAGTACAATCTATGCGTCTGTACGCTTCAGAGCAAAGGTGAATTTGGCCTTGCTTTGCTGTACTTTGGGGTGTTTGAAGTGTAGAAGACGATCTTCCCCGAAATAAGTCGTATTTCTTCTTCCTTTTGCAAAAAATACCTATCATTTTTATAAAATACGGTCCACTCTCTATTTTTCTTAGTACCTACAAATAATAATTAAATTCAACATATTGCTTCGAATTTGGATCGTGCCTATAGAGTCGAGACTAGATACTATAGTAGCCAACCGGACTCCCATCGAAGGTTTATATGTAGAATGTATTATATGTATATGTATACATATAATATAGGTATTATTATATATATAGGTATAGTATATCACAAATACCTATTGTACAGTATGAAGTATTCATACAGTGTGAATCGGAGGGGGATAGCTAGTATTTTCATATTTCAATAAAACTAAAACCTCCCACATACTCACAAAATATAATATAATACAATTTATAATATAAATGTACCTCAATATGCATTTTATACTACACATACAATTAGAAAATAACTCGAAATGTGGGTCACGTAGGTACATAATTTTAAACTCTGTACGACGCAGCCGAAAAACAAAACGCCGAATCTACATATTATGACCTTCGCAGCTTCACCCAAATTAATTAACCTGTCGCTCCAGATAATTTAGCTAAAATTAACACGAATGCCACTCATCCTTCACAGTATCCCAAGTCGTTAGTCTAACATAACTTTTCTTCCAAAGCGGATTAATCAACCCGTCGATACCTCGATATCTCAAATCAACCTTTGTTGGGTCTTTTCATCACATTGACAGGCTTCAGAAGTTTATAGTTCGTTACGGTGTTAAAGTTCTGAAGCCTCGGTTTCCGTTATAAACAAGTTAAATAGTGTTCTTGACATTGTATCGGCTATCAGACTGCTAACTTTACTATTATTCAATTAGCGAGGTGATCAGGATTTTGTACGATATTGGATATAGCATGACTATAATCCAAGAAGAGGTTTATAATGGATAAATAGCTGATATAGCAGCTGCCTATGCTAACGCTGGCAGGGCACCAGTGGTAGACGATATGATGATAAAGAAGTGAGGTTAGCACATCGTGCTAATTCTAGCGAATTTATCACGAATCGATTGATTGCATAGAATTTCTGGCAATTAGCTCCTTACCTTGTAACAGGCTTCTTCCTACACATATAGGGTATACAAGAGAATACCAATATAATAACAGAGAATTCAAAAGTATAGCAAATTATTCAACTATGCTGCATAAAAAATTGTATATACATATATGTTAGCATATACAAGTTGTCTCTAAAATAGATCTCTTTTAGACAAGACATAGCTTTCTAAAGAAGACAAACGACAAGACAAGCAAGACTAACCCATAACTTTCTATAAACGTTATATCATATATTAATCTATGATCTCTTTTTTAAATTAGGAATAATCAATATATTTGTATATTGTTCTACTCAGCTGAGAAAAAGAGATAGAGCCTATAGAGAAGATTACAGCGCGTAGGGTGACGAACTTTTAGTTTTTCAAAGCACAAAGTTTAATCAAACTGATATTCTACATAACGGAATAGCTAGCCGAGGAACCCTTAATTTGCGAATTTGGGAAATCTTAAGTAACAAGGGAGTGACTTAGAATTAATAGCGAGAGTTTAAACAACGCAAGATACCCTTATCCTAGTACCTATCTACAATACAATAAGTTTTTAAGGCAGATTTTTAGTCGCTCTGTGCAGGATTTCAGTCCTTTCGAGCTTTTTTCCAAATATATTTTGCCACATTGTGGAATTAATTCCTAGCAGTGGCAGTTCCAATTTATTTATTTGACGGTCTGGCGGTTTATTTCTGATGTTCACGGGTTGGATTCCTCACACGGTGCAAACATTTGTATTCATGAGTATATTTTTTTATACCTGTTTGAGTGTGCTCTATGTATATTATGTATGTATTAAAAAAAACGAAGTATTTATTATATATCAGTTATCTAGTACCCCACAAGCTCTGCTTACCGTGGGCTAGATGGCGCTGTGGTAATTGTCCAGGATTATTTATTTATTATTTTTTATTGTAGTGTTTTTTAATAGTTTTATTATATAGTGGTAATTATATAATATATTTAAAACATTATAAAAATAATATTGCTTTTTAAATAGTCGGCAACTCATCTGTAATTCCCTAGTATTACGAGTGCTCATTGGCGGCGGGAATCACTCATCATCAGGTACAAGCTCGTTTGCCATCTATATTATAACAAAAAACATTACACAATTGCCTTCAACATTTAGATAAAAATTGTACAATACAACGGAACGTCTTATTTGACTATTTAACTATATAACTTAGTCCGTCGCATCGGTATCTACATAAAACGGTATTCAGTTCATGCGACTGGATAGCGTGCAAGTAAATAGCAAATCCCATTCCTAAAACGTTAAAAAGGAAGTCGATTTGCGTGCAGCAAATTTTGTAGGTCTGTATATACACAAGTGTGGTAAGTTAGTGCTAAAGTTGGCAGTATTTAACTTTAACTCAGATTGCTTTAAATTGTTCTATTTTTAAAATTTAAACAAATATACTGTTACGATTGTTATCTCAAATAGGGTAGTCAGAAACAATACTAACTGCTGAAAAGTGATAGATGTAGAACAGCATCAACATTTTATAAATCGAGGGCGAAAAACATTTTTATTCTGCACAGTGGGCCGCACCATATATATTTTTATAAGGATTTTTTTATTTTATATTAATCACAGTTTTTATTACTTAATTGTTGTCGTTATTGAGAGTGGGCCTATGCTGTTGGCGGGCCGCAGAAAACACACCAGCGGGCCGCAAGCGGTCCGCGGGCCGGGATTGAAGACCCTTGATGTAGAACATAGTGATACATATATACTATATCTAAAGTTAATGGATTTACTTATTTAGATGCCCCTATGTAAACCATTTATTGAAAATTATAGCTAACGATGCCCTCAGAGCAGTAATTTTAATCCTCGTCATAAAGAAGAGTTGTATTGAATAGTTAGGATTGCTATAAAAAGCAGGGTATATGGGGTGAACTTAGTTAGACTAGTGCTGACTGACCCCAGTCCAGCACTTGATATGCCCACAACTTAGAGTTTATTTCAATATATTGAAAATTCAAGCCGAATTAATTAACTTTTTAATTAGCGTAGTTCGTCTATCGCAGAGTCTAGTGCATACTGCAAACTATGGACTCCAGTGGTAGCGTGGAGAGCTCATTTCGTGTAATGGTATTTATTTTAATTTAAACGGTTCAATTATAAAGCCTACGTAATTAATAAATATGTTTTTGGAATTCGTATTTGTTTGTCTTTGTTTACGTAGTCTTAAGCAAATCTCAGATCGATGTAGGTATTGTGTTTACGATAGATAGATTCTAGTAATATCGTGTTTGTTTCGTTTCAATTAATTCAATAAAAAGTTAGGAGTATCGCAAATAGAAGAGCTCTCCATGTATTAAAAATAACCTATTTTTAATCACAACAAGACGCGGTCCAAGTGGCGGATTTAGCTTGTATTTAATAAGAACTAGCGGTTACCCGCATCTTTGCCCGCGTGGAATTTTACTGTTTTTTTACTCTTAAATATATTTTGTAAAATAAAAGTAGCCTAAGTTACTCCCAATAACATTAGCTATGTGCTAGTGAAAGTCACGTCAAAATTGGTCTAGCCGTTTCAGAGATTAGCAAAAACAAACAGACTGACAGGCAATTCTTTTTAAAATATTTTTTATTTTAATACCGTATATAAGGATGTAATGAAAAGCTGGTAATTTGAGGTTACAAACGGATTTCAGTTTTATTTATTTGTATACATTTGTGTTATTATAATTATTTCCGAAATCCTATCAAGATGGTTGTACTGACTGAATGACTGAACGAATAAAGAGGCATTCATCACTGTCGACTGTTTGACAGCTGATTCGATATTCAAATTTATTTTTTCATTTACACTTATAATGAACTGGATTTACTGAAAAGAA